TACACACACACACACACACACATACATGTACATATAGGTATACATATATATATGTACAGTGTGTGTGTATAATCTGAATAGAGATGAAAATTAAACCCTGATGCAGTTAGCAAGGGAGAAGAGAGCCTAGGACAGAAACTTAGGTATCACATATAGTTAAGGGGCATGATATGGATGGCTGTGCAGCAAAGGAGGCTGAAGAGGAGCATTTGCACAGGTAGAAGGAAAGTCAGAAGCAACAGTGTTATTCAAACCCAAAGACTACTGTTTCTTGGAGGAAAAAGTAGTAAACAGGGTCAAATGCAACAGCCAGGTCTGATGTTTCATCATGAGTTTTCTGAAATCACGTCTAGTCATGGCATTGATTAGAGCTCTTGAGTCTTTCAAAGTTGTCTTTACAATGTTGTTTTGGTATAAATTGCTCACTTCACTCTGCGTAAGTTCGTGTAAGTCTTTCCAGCTTTCTCTGAAACTGTCCCTTTCATTTCTTACAGCATGAAGTGCTCTATCATGTTAGTATACAATAATTCGTTCAGCCAGCCCTGAAGTGACAGGTACCCCCTGAAGTTTTCCGTTCCGTAAGCCACCATAAAAGGAATTGCTGTAATATTTTTGTACATATAGGTCCTTTTCCTCTTTCTTTGGTCTTTTTGGGTTATAGACCTAATAGTGGTATTGCTGGGTCAAAAGGTATATGTGCACAGTTTAATAACTTGTGGGACATAGTTTAGAAAAATTTCCCAAAGAGTTTTTCTAAGAAAGGGAAGAAAGGCATAGTAAGAAAGCTTGAGGAATGATAAGATCTAGTGAAGGTTTTTCAAGGATTAGGGAGACTTGGACATGTTTGAAGCCAGTAGTAAAATCATGATAGGGAAACGTTGAAAATTTGAGAAAAAAGGAATGATTGAGAACGTATTCTGCTGGAGAAGACAGGAGGGGGTAGAATCAAGTGCACTTTTACAGGGGATAGCATTAGCAAACACAAGGTCCACCTCTTCAACAGAGACTGGGGGGAAAGGGTAAGAGATGATGTCAAAAGGTTTTGAGACAAAAGAAGGGAATAGTGGCTTCAATTTTCTCATTAAAGTAACAGGCAAGGTCCTCAACTGAGTGGAGGAGGGCAGATGGTAGCCACTTTCAGAGGGAAGAGAAAGTCTGAAATCATTTCTGTGGGGAATGAGATAGGGAATCCATTAGGGAGGAATACAAAGGTTGCTTTACTGAAAGGAGGACCTGACTGAGGTTAGATGACATTAATTTGTAATATAACCCATCAGCACTGTTGTGAGACTTCTGCCAGCTGCATTGAGTGTCTCATACAATTAGAGGGGGAAAATGGTGTGACTAATCCAGGGCTGATCTCTTTTCTGCTCTAATACACAATACTTCAAAGATCAGAAATTCATGAGAGCTGGAAGGAACATTACATTACCTTTAGGATTTAAACTCAGCTCTTCTGTACTTCCAGCCCAGCACTCTATCCTGTGTCACCTAGCTGCCTCAAACGAAATTTATTGAGTCTGCAGTAGTCATCAGAAGCAATGTTAATGGGGGTACTCTTTCTACTGACTTAGCTCACTTAGCTCTATAATGTCGTCGATGGACTGCAGGAGTTTTTATGGCTAAAAATGTCATCTCGCTGAAACCAACTTGGTGACAAACTTTTGTGAATTTAGTTTTGTTGGTCCCTGTGCAACAGACAGTTTGTCATTGTGACCACACTGGAAGGTTTTCCAGCTTAGTGGAATTCACCAGAGCTGCTGATCTCAAGGCATAACCTTCAAGAATCCAAGGTAATCACTGAATACCATGCTGAGGCATCAGAATAAGATTTTGGTGCAAGTCTCTAATAACAGTATCCAGTGTTTACATGGTACTTTAAAGTACGCAAAGCACTTTATATATATGATCGCATTTTTGTCATCACAACAGCTCTATGAGGTAGGAGCTAACTTATTTTTATAGCTTGATAAAGGCAGTATAGGTTAATGACAGGGAGCAAGGGATTTGTCAGAGAGCTTGGGTTCAAATCAGCTCTGCTGCATAATGACCTGTATTATCTTCGGGAATTCAAAAGCTCTCTAGGTCTGTTTAATCACTTGTAAAATAAAAGGGTTAGACTAGATGATTTCTAAAGTCCCTTTTCTAGTTGTAAAGTATTATGACCCGAAGTCTCATGCTTAAGAAATTTTTAGGTAGTAAGATGGCAACACCCACTGGCAAAATATGATACTGTAGACTGGCTCCTTTCAGGCATTATAAATGTTTAGACAGAAGGAAAAGATCTAAATGACTGAAGTAATATTTATTCACAGGTAGGTAAAGCCAACATAATATAAATATGATAATCTCACCTAACTAATCTATTTATATGAGGACATCCCAATTAAATTACTAAAAAATTATCTGAGTTACAAAAAAAATAATAAAAAAGTTCATTTAGAAGAACAAAAGGTCAGGAACTACAAAGAAATCAGGGGGGGAAAATGTAAAGGAAGCAGATCCAGTGATATCAGACCTTAAACCATATTATAAGGTGAGAGCATCGTTGAAGTCTTACTGAATAATCTTGCCTATTTTAAAGTTTTCTTGTATAAATAAAACCAGCACAGCCAAGAATAGAAGGAATGCAGAAAAATGAGGGAAAACACTTTCATAGACAATCTTTCAGACAGAATGGGATTGGACTGAAATAATGTTGTGATGTAGAAAATGATGAGCTGGTTGATTTAGAAAAACATGGAAAGACTTGGACTTATAAAAGAAGATAGTACCCACCTTAAGAGAAACAGTTAAGTAGAAATAGGTATGGTATGGTCTCACATATATGTATATGAATGCACATGTGTTTATATATGTACATGCATAGACACATCTCCATATTTAACTTGTAGCCTTCTTTGGGGGGAAGAGAAAAATAAAGTAAAAAGTGCACAGCAGGGAGCAAAAGAAAATCTGTAGAGAAGCAAAGCAAAGCCGGACAGCTTTGAAAACAATGTGTAGTATTTACTATACAGGTTTTTTTGAAATGGAAATTTATTGCTTTGTATTGAATCCTGTCATGTTCATGTGTACATGGCAATGTTTTTTTTTCTTATTTTGTACATAAATTTAATATAAACTTAAAAACAAAAAAAAAATTAAAAAAAGGAGTCTTAAAAAAAGTGATAGAGTTGTTAGGTAGGTGGTACAGGTGGTCCATGTGTAACTGCTCGATATGAAGTTAGAAAAGTGCAGGAAAGTATTGATATTTCCAAATTAGGTTTTCCTAGTTGATTTTGATATTATGCAAATCATAATTACATAGTCCAAATCTCTCATTTATAGCTGAAGCCCAGAGAGTTAAAGTGACTTATGAAATTACAAGACAAGTCTGTGGCAGAGCTAGGGACTTGAACTGCATTTCATGTCTACTGCTCCTTCTACTACACTATAACAGTTCTGTTGAAGAATCAGAGTACTCGGGCTAGAGACCTCAGAAAGCATCCAGTCCAATACCCTCATCTTACAGATGAGAAATCATCACTTATTGGAGGTAACAGATAGCTAAATGTTTTATCTTTGTGCCAACATTTGCTTGGCTCTTGGCATCCAAGGATGTAAATGGGATTCAACTGACAAAATTCTTTGAACTTATTTGAGCAAAGTGCTAAGGAAAATTTCTCCTTGTGTTTAACTGAATTTGATTCTATGGGGAACAGAAATCAAACTAAAATTCTGTTCATCTAAGATAAATTGCCTCTTCCAGGAAATTAAATAGAACCCAGTAATTCCAAAAGAGTTAATTGCTATGCAGTGGGTACTACTGGCATCTCATTAACATGATTTACTCTAGAATAAACACAAACCCCGTTTATGTTGTGCTATAACTTAACCTCACACTTTCGTGACTTAGTCATAGCATTAAATTTTTGAGACTAAAATGTTAGAAAGCAGAGTTTGCTCTACTCCAAATGTCAAAATTGAATTAAATGGAGGCAACAATGATATATTTTGCTATTGTTAAGAAACTGAGACAGAGAGTGGAGAATCTATGCTTAAAATATTTACTGCTCATGTGATGGTCAAAGATTTACTAAGCAGCTATTTAAAAATAAACAGGAGAAATCAAATATTGATATAATAAAATATCTAATGTAAAAAAAACAAAAACAAAAACCCGTTACTACAGAAGATATGATGATAACAGAGTACTGTTTCTTCTGAGTGTATTGTCTAGTAAACTCAAAATCTAGGCTTTTTTCCCCACCCTGGAATTAAGAGGTATTACTTTTATTAGTTTTGCAGGGTGATAAATTGCCCTAAAATGATCCCCAAGTCTTTAGTTTTGGCATTCTGTAGAGTGTAGTTCAGTATTTGTGAATTAGGCTGAACAATCCAGCAATCAATTAATTAAAGATCTCCAATGGGTAAATAGGTTAAACTGAAAACTAACATTCATTTGACCCAGTTAGGCTGATCTATCTATATTGGGTCTTTTTGCATTAATCATATTTTTGGGTAGATTTCAACTAGGTACTAACCAGTAAATTGATGTGCCATACTTTCACCAAAACTATATGCCATTCACTTTAATTTCCATAGCAAAATAAATGTACATCTTGTTTGATCTACTTGCTCTGTATACCTAGAGATGTGAAACACTCAGATTTCATGGTATAATCACTGACTCCACAAAGAAGAGCTATTAATACTCAACTTAAGTTACAACTACTTATGGTATCTTTATGGAAAAATCTTTTATTTTTCTACACATTTAAAAATAAATTTGTGGACAACTTAAAGTTATACACAAATCCTTTGGCTTCCGTTCTTTTAATAGAAAGAATCTCTTGAAGTAAGAATATTTCTTAACAAGCTATAATGTGTATACAATTGAATGTTCAGACTCTAGACTTCCAATTTTTTGAAAAATAGACATTGTTGCTTCCATCCTTTTTATGTTATAAAGAGGATGGAAGCAACTTCAAAGGTGTAGTGAGAGACATAAAAAGCTCTACTTGTAAAAACACAGAAATAAGATCTTTATTTCTATCTATGAGTCCACCAAATGATTAAGTACCCCATTTAATAGTCAAGGCACTGTATATTATATGATGACAGAAGCAGAAATGAAACATTTAAAATATGAATTTGGACTTTCTGGCTGTTGACATGGCAAGGTATGATTAGAAGATTTGCATGATACAGAAAACTTACAAGCCAAAGATACAGCTTAAAAAAAGTATTAAAATGGTGACTGTACAACTTAAGCTGCCAAAGTTGGTACACATAAAAAAAAAAGTATAAAAATATTTTAAAGATAATTGAAGCTGAACTTGTCAATGTCACTGTATCAATCTAATTTTCCTAATTTAAACCAAGCTCTATTTTGGAACAGTAGTTGATTTGGATAGTCACTAATTTTGCAAGTACATTTCTTACCCTTCCTCGTAGAGTCATAGTCAAGGGAATGTATGAAAAATAAGACCTGAGTTGTTTTACAGGCATTTATTAGCATAGTAACTGTCACCCATTTCCTTGTGTAAGGGTTGGGTTCACAGAACTCACTAGTTTGTCTTCACGCTATCTAAATATCACAACTTTATAAAAACACTGTTCCTTTTAGCATACAACTCTGTATAAGAAGTCTTTGCTTTCTGCCATACTGCTGGTAACTGCATCAAAAACAAAACATAGATAAAACAAACATTTTTCCAATGCTTTGTTTATCTAACAAAAGACAGCAGTAAACCTCTTTTTCCTGAATGGGGTGCTTCTTTTTCGGAAAGAAGTGAAGATAGATGACAAGAGAAATATATGAAATGATAAATCAACTCCAGCTGATGAATACAAGCGGGTCAAAGTAGCAAAGAATGAAAAAGTAGTATTCTGGGGGGGGGGTACTAATGCATTAAAAAATAAGCAAACTATGAAGTAGTAGGAACTACTTAAAAATACATGGAATATAGAGGACAATTTACTGAAGAAAAGGACCATACAGTGAAGTACTCTCATAGCATGGACCCTTGGGAGTTCATTAAGAGTTTTATTAGGGATGATTTCTATACTTGAATCATTAACATCTAGAATTAAAGAATGTTAAAAGCTGGAACAGATCTTAGGGATTATCTTCTCCAACCCCTTATCTGGCAGCCCATTTAAAAAATACTGACTGTAGTGTTCAGTACAGAAAAAAAAGGGAATCACTGCTTTTCTTTACAATAAAATGATAACTTAAATACTTTCTTTGTAAGTATAAACATTACCTGGTACCAAGCTAAGTGTTAATCAAAGAAGGTAATACTAAGATTTTGTCATTTCTGTGGGTCAATTCTTAAATAGGTACTTGATACTCCCATTTAACAACTACAGGAGGAACCCAAGATACGAGGGCAATGAACACCTTCTGGCATAAGTTACATATTCTTATTATTTTCACAGGGGTTACTGGCAAAAAGCCAATGATACAAGATTAGTCTTTTCAAGTTGGTATTATCAAAAAATAAGTTCTGTCATTGGCTGAGGTATTTATTCTGTAACATGCAGCAGTTTCAATTTATCCTTGGATCACAAAAATAGATTTGGCAAATGAAACAAATTAAAAATTGTCTATAATAGGTTACATAATGATGTTGATGTATGCACCTCGACACAAAGTAAATATCTACAGAGTGAAAATGAAAAAAATATCAAAACTTTAAAAGTTTTAGAGGAAGACCAACTTTAAAAATGTAGTAAAAAGTACTGCTTTTCCAGTAAACATGGAGAAAGATTCTTAACCTGAATCTATATATCACAACTATAATTTACCAAAATTGTGCAACCTGATAAGATTTACATGGATCTGAATTTAAAAGCTTTCAGAAACAAATCTGAAAGGCATCACAATGGGAAAAGAAACATCATCTTTATCTTCTTAACCTGTGATTTATTTTTGGAAGGATGTAAGTAAAATTGAAATTTTCAAATATAAAGGAGAAATAGTTAAAACTCCATAAACATGTAATATGGGATCAAGCCCTGGATCCATATGAATTACTGCTTTTTATACAATGTAGGTGGTTAACATGTATTTCACAAAAATGAGCAAACATTTGACAATTTTTGAAAATCTCGTAAATCACAAACTCTTAAGTTTACAGATGCTGAAATAAATATTTTTTAAACCTAGAAATGAGTACTTTAAAAAACTGAAGACTTTTTACAGTGTTTATAGACAAAATGGCAAGTACAAATAATGCAGCTGCCACCTAGTTTCCACTTAATTTCTTCATAATGCGACTGTCAGCTGTGGCATTCGTGAAGATACTTCCAACAACCACATGGGTACCCCAAATACTATGGCGAATCACTTTGCAGCAGCCAAGATCATCAACAGAAAACCCTAACTGTCGATAACGCTCATCTGTTTCAAAAAGAGTATTGTTTGTATACGGTCCAAAAAACTAAGGATAAAAAAAAAAATCAGTAAGGAAGATATATATTACTTGGAACCAGTGAACAGGAAAAAACTGTCTTTAAACCAAATGGATCTTAATTCTATGGCATAAATAAGTTTACCTCAAAAACATAAACAAAGAGACCATTAAGGTACCTACTTCAGAATAGTGCCTCTTACAAGTACTTTTTTTTGTTTTCGTTTTTTTTTGGGGGGGGGTAGGCAATGGGGTTAAGTGACTTGCCCAGGGTCACACAGCTACTAAGTGTTATGTGTCTGAGGCCGGATTTGAACTCAGGTTCTCCTGAATCCAGGGCCGGTGCTCTATCCACTGCGCCACCTAGCTGCCCCACAAGTACTCTTTTTTAGAGAAATGAACAATGAATTACAAAAAAGAAAGATTGCCCCTCTAAATTAAAATACTGCTCTCTACCCTTTCTTTTTCTTGTTTGAAAACAAAATCCAGGGGGGCAGATAGGTGATGTAGTGGATAGAACACCGGCCCTGGATCCAGGAGGAACTGAGTTCAAATTTGGCCTTAGAGACATAACACGTACTAGCTATATGTCCCTGGGCAAGTCACTTAACCTCACTGCCTAGCCAAAAACACAAAACCAAAAAAAATTACCAAAGAGTAAAAATTATTATTAAAAAAAAAAAAAGAAAACAAAACAAAATCCAGCATATATCAAATACAAGTCCATCATTATATTTTCCTCTAAGGAACACCTTAAGCACTGCCTGATTTTAATTTTGTCTAACTGGCAAAAGAAAATGCTAGATACATTACAAATTAAATGTATATCAGTTGTATTGAGATAAAAATATATAGTGATTTTTCCTACAATTTTTTTTTATTTCTACAAAATATATAGTGATTTTTTCCCCCCTTTCCAAGGGGACAGGAATTAGATATGCGATTTAGGGGAAGCTAGGTGGCGCAGTAGATAGAACTTCAGTCATGGAGTCAGGAGGACCTGAGTTCAAATCCAACCTCAGACACTTGACACTTATCAGCTGTGTGACCGTGGGCAAGTCACTTAATACTTATTGCTTCACAAAAACAAACAAAAAAAAGCATGTGATTTTAATTTTAGAGGTAAGTCTCAGGTGAGAAAACTCCTGCTCCCAAAACAGGCTGGCACCTTTTCTGAAATTTATAGTCTTAGAGATTTGTCTAGAACACTGAGAGATTCAGTTTCAGAGCTGATGTGTCAGAGGCAAGATCTGAATTCAAGTCTTCCTGGCTTAAAGGCTACTTTCATATTGATTACATCATGTTACTTCTCACAAATTCTTTACATGTATAATATTTTATTTGGCTAGGATCCTTGAAATGTAATATAAATTTATTAACTCATAAACTTGTTCTTAAAATACACAAGTAGAAATTTAAGATTTTAGAAACTAAAACTCATAAAGTAACTTAACTGAACATAAATTTTCACAAAGGGTCAAGTTTTTAAAATGTTGGCATCCAAAATATTAATAAGGATGATCTTCAATACATACTTTCAGTAATTTTTTTCCTTAAAAGAATCTGGAGTGTTTGTTTAGTTAAGGAAGCCAATTTAACTTAGTATAGATTTCTAATGTTCCATTAAATACACAACAGTCAGTATGCATTCAATATATAGTTTGGTACAATGCACTGTGCTAAGTGCTGGGGATACAAAGAAGAGCAAGAAACAGTCCACGCTTCCAAGCAGCATACATCTAGCAGGGGTGGGGAACCTGCAGCCTTGAGGTCATACGTGACTCTCTAAGGTCCTGAAGTGTGGCCCTTCCACTGAGTCCAAACTTCACAGAACAAATCTCCTTAATAAAAGTCAAAAGTCAAAAGGCTGCACCTGAGGACCTAAAAGGCCACATATGGCCTTGAGGCCGCCAAGTTCCCTACTCCCTACCCCCGAATGGGGGACATAACATATAACCATCTAGGTACATACAAGAGATATACAGAAGGCACTAGCAGTGGGGAAGACCAGGAAAGGTCTCCCTGGATCTGTGATCATTACTTATGAAAAATAAGCTGATTTTACTGCAAAACAGAAATTCTGTTGACTTCTCAAAGTGCAGATGAGAAGGTGGAATGAGAGGCTGTCCAAGTATGATTTTTAAACAGTATTTCTTTAAGTTTAAATGAACTTTCTAAAACACCTGTTCTCTTTAGCACACTAGAGAGCCCACCCATCTCAATACTCTCTCCTCTCAAATATTCTAGCTTTCGAAAATATTTACTCACTGCCAATCCAGATGATGGGTCAATAAAGTCAGCCCAATACCCTTCAGTACGTAGAGCATAACAAATTTCTTTAGCACCGTTTATAAACTGTAATCAAATAACAAATTATATAAATGATAAAATGGTTAGGAAATCATTCTAGTGTCAGTCTTTACTATGGTAAAATAAAATCCTGAATAGAACATTTCTGGCTTTGAGAAGACCATTAACAATACTAAAACCTAAAATTAATGATGAATATTAAGCTACTATTCTAATAACACTGTACTACTTTTGCCAAATGGAAAAAAAGTGACGGTTTGAACATTTTACAACTGCTTTGATCATTAAAGTTGACTATAGACTCATACTTGTTAACCTTCATTTAAAAAGTCTAATAAATTCAGTAGCATTCTCATTTATTTCCTTTCCTATTTTATGAACTATTATTCAAAATAAGTCCTGTGTAGGTAATTGCCCAGATTCCCTCAACCTACCCCCAAATGACCTGTAGTTACTCTTATTTTTGGAGGGGTGTGAATGTCAGGTGAAAGACTAAAATACTAGAAGAGAAAACACCGGGCCAATTGCTCTCCCTTGAATGAATATCCTAAAATTCATTTCCATAAGTAATCATTAAGAACTGTGTTTAAAAATTGTGATATCAACTAAATGACAGTCTAAGCTCTTGAAGGGCTTAAAATCTCTTCTGGATCAAACCGGATATGAAAACAGGATATCTATCTACACATACACACGTGCACAAAAAGATAAGATAGTGCTGGAACATTCTTCATAATTCTGAGATTCTAACAGTTCTAAATCAGTCTATATTTGCTGACTGATTTTTAGAACTTCAGAGCTCTACCCTACTTTTCTCTTGAGGCACTCTAGATACTGTAGAAATACTTTGTGAAATGCATGTGCATTTCTAAAATTTTATATGATCATACAGAAATATAATTCTAATAAGATAACTACCAAGGATAAATCAAGTTAAGTACAGAGCTAAAAAGGGATTGATGTCTATGCATATCATCTGTGGAAAGAAAATAAGATTTTTTAAACAGAAGAAATTATAGGAGACAAGGTAAAGGTAGATGGCTTTCATTACATAAAAACAAAAATATAACTAAGATGAAAGTAACATGTTGAACACTTGACTAAAGTGTCTCTTTCACACACACACACACACACACACACACACACACACACACACACACTCTCACTCACTCACTCTACCCCTATCCAAACAATAAATGAAAGAACATCCCTTCCCTAATGGATAAAAGGTCAAAGGATACAAATGATTCACAACAGATAATAATCATTTGAAAGTATTTACTCCGCTTAACAATCAAAACAAAACAATATTAAAACTACTATGTACTAGTTAGCATCTACCAAACTGGTAAAAATAGCAAAAAATGACAAAAGTAATTGATGGTGGGATAATGGAAAAACCAGATACACCCACTGTATTGTATTGTAAGGGCTTTTTTCCAAAAAGATTTTTACCAATCTGGCAGTTTATTTAAAGTTATAATAATGATAATCACATGCCCTTTGACTCAGTGATATCCATTAATGGAATTAAATCTTGAGATCATTATCCAAAAGAAAAGAGTTTTTTCTAAGATATTTTTAGCAATATTATTTGTAACTACAAAAAAAAAGATCTCTACACTTGACAATCGAGGAAGATTGAATAATTTGCTGTGTATCAAATATCAAATATATTGGAACATGATAATGTATTTAAGAACAGTAGGCATAAATTTAATCAACTCAGCAAGTATTCTAGTAGCAGCAAGGCACTGTGCTAGCTGCCAGCAATACAAAAACCAAAACCAAACAAACAGACTATCTTCTATCTAGGGGATAAAACAATGAATAGTAAAGCTTGGATCTAACTTTGGGAATGAGAGCATTAATAATTAGGGGAGGAGAAATCAGGAAAGGTTGGTGGAATCAGAATTAAGATGTGAAGAAAGATAAGGATGAGAAGTAGGAGGGCAAGCACTCCAAGTATGGAGATAGCCTGTGCAAAGGCACGGAGGTAGGAAATGCTGAGGGGAAAAAAAAGCACATCGATCAGTTTGGCTGGAATACAGAGCAGATAATAACAACAACAATAAAAACATTTATATAGTTCTTACCATATACCAGACACCGTGCTAAGTGCTTCATAATTATTCTCTCATCATGTGATGTAGATGCTATTATTATTCCCATTTTACAGATGAGGAAACTGGGGCAAATAGAGATTAAGTGACTTGCCCAGGGTCACATAGCTGGGAAGTGTCTGAGGTCAGGTGTTTGAAGTCAGGTCTTCTCAACTCCAGGTGGGGCACTCTTAACTACTGTGCCACCTAGCTGTTAAGAGAAGTAAAGTGAAATAATCTGGAAAGGTAGGCTAGAGCTAGATTTAAATGCCCAAAAGTAGTACTTTATAACAGAAAAAGCTGAAAGTTCTTGAGAAGGAGAGTGAGGTCAGACTTACACTTTAGGAAGATTTTCAACTGTAAAGCAGGACTAGAAACAGGAAGACCAATTAAGAGTTAGATGCAAGTCACTGAAAAGCTTAAAAGCCTAAATTAGGAGTAGGTGGTGGTTATGTGAGAGATGTTGTGGAGGTAAAAACAGTTAAGACTTAGCAACTGATTTGAGTAGCTCAGTATGCAGACTGTATACAATGTATATGTAAAGGCAAATGTACTTTCTCTGAAGTTAGGACCTAGGTTCATATCTTACCTTTGATGCTAACTACATGTGTGACTATGGGCAAATCACAACCTCCTGTGGCCTCAGTTTCCTCATATTTAATATAAAGGGTAATACCTCTCTAAGAGAAAGATGGTCTTTTGAGATCTTTTCCAGCTTTAGCTATATAATCCATATGAGGAGATAAAAAGGAAAGTCTATACAAAAATATACACATATACAGAAGTGAACAAAGACAATGAGAGGGTGAAGGGAGATGTAGGGGTAGGAAGACACTAATAAAATATAATTTTCCAAAAGTTTTATAGTACATTTCATTTTGATACTGTTTAAAGTTAATTTTGCAAAAACTTAAAATACACTATCCCGCAAAAGTGCACTCATCCCAAGTCCTTTTTTCAAAAACTGCAAACTCTGATGTTCCTGCATTACAAACATATTTTCCTCAGCATTTCTTAATTTCTATTGGGGAAAAAAGTGAAATCATGCTAAAATGCTACTGTATGCACATGGTGGTTCCTACGGCAGTTAAAAACATTGTACAGTTACCATTTTGATAAGCCTTAACCTGGATGTACTGAATACTATTATCACTTCTACTTCCCATTACCAAGACTGTTGGTGGAAAGCCCAAACAGAAATGGGGATTACTAAATCATACACACAAGGATTGCTACGGGCTTCATATTCACATTTTAAAATGTAGTATCATCCATGTTTCACTGTATTTTGTTTTTTATTGTTAAATATTTACCAATGACATTTTTATCTGGTTTGGGCTGCTATGGGGAGTACTGTGAGTCATGTATGACAACTCTGATCTAGAATGCATACCTAACATTAATATTAGCCATCTCTTAGCAAAATCCAAATGTATAATGAGCTGTTTTAGAAGCAGTAAATTGCTCATCACTAGAAGTTTTTTAAAGTGGAAGTGGAATGAGCACTTGTAGATTCTGTAGAGGTGATTTTCAGTCAGTATTCTTTGGACTAGGCGACCTCTAAAGTTACTTTCAGCTAAAATTCTAGATTATTATCCACACATGAAAAAAGAAAATATCTTTGACAATAAGCACTATGATTGATTTATAATTTTTGTAAGAGAAAAGACCTGAGAAATACTCTAGCTATCACTATTTCTCCTCTATCAGATAGTAAAAATTATCAAATAGAACATTACAGATAAGAATGCAATCCTAAGTCAGTAAAGTCTGACTCTGTGATGCAATAATTATCTAAAAGCAAAGTAAAACTTAGTCTTACCTATTATGAATGATTTTGCCTGAAAATAAGGTTCATCATTTTTAACAACAAAAAAATCTCTCTCAATTTTCTTGAAGACATTTCTACTTGAGAAATTCATAGCTGAATCTGTCATGAACTTGACATCTATAACACTTTCACTTCCAAGGTTATATTTAATATTCTAACATCCTTACAATGGCCCTTTAACAAAAAACTCTATATGACAGAAAGATTACAACAGATAATTAGACTAGATTACAATGATAAAAACCACAAAAGTGCAAAATGATTCAAATACAGAGCATACATACACATACTTACACACCCCCTTTAGGCAATTTTGATGACTGAAGCTACTTTGCTATTTTCTGTTGTAATGTTTATACTATTTGGTAATGACAATCATAAAAGCATTTTGTCATCTCTGAACACTCCAAAATATTAGTACTCAGAATTCTGAACAAAGCTACAGAGAATAACTAAATGAAGACTTATTTTGATTTCTTTGTGGTGACAGTAACAACAAAAGAACCGTAGCAGAGGATGATGGTGCACACAGAGCTTTTAAAGGTAAAACCAAAACCACAAAATCTCAAACAAGATACCACCTAGGGGTACAACTCGTAACCAAGCAGCAGACACTGACATCTGCTGGAACAGATCAGATTTAATTTAACTATCCATCATCTATGAGAAGAAACCCTCTAGTGGACAGTATCTTAGGTGCACTTTCTATATATAATACTTGAATCTCTGGGTGTTGTTTATTCTGTAAAGAGGGAATTGAGCAATGAATAATCTGACAGTTTCAGTTGCTGTGAAGTACAGCATGTTAGAACAGTTGCATGTCTTCACCATTAGATTCCACAAAACAGTTGGGAATGGATGAATGAAAAAGCATTTATAAGCACTTACTATTGGCTAGGCACAAGGAATGATACAAATACAAATGGCCTTAAAGTGCTCACATTCAACAGGAGAAGACAATACAATATAGAAGAATGGTGGCCGGGGGTTGGGGTGGTGGTGGTGGGTGTTTTATGGTCAGGGATGTGACAATGATAGTTGAGTGGAAATTCAATGAAACTGACAGACTTACCTTTCCAGGAATTGGTACTGTGGTGTAGATTACTGTTTTCACAGTCACACATGGAATGAAGGGAAAGAGGAAGTATTTGCAACTTAAAATAAACTGGCATCAAGATGGATGGGAGCAGCAAAAAGTGCTGGGTCTGAGTTAGGCCTGAGTCAGACCAGAGTCACATAAATCTGAAGTAAAAGAGGAAGGATTTGAGCCCAGGGCCTCCACACTTATGGACCTCAGCAACTCATTCAGAACTTAATAGTCTTAAAAGAAATGTCTCAGGGCAGAGGTTTCAAACGTGTGGCTCACAAAACTTCCAAATGTGTCCAGAAACAGATTAATATGCAAATGGGAAAAATTTAACAACATAAATAAAAACACAACAGAACACAGATATTATGAATATGCAGTTTTCTAAGTTAATATGTATCTGCAGGGATCTTTAGATGGGGTTCAGTGGTCCCCATTTCTTTTTGTGTTTGACACCACTGGCCTACAGCGCTGAGATGTGGCTTACAGCTATAGTACTATGCCAGAGACTGGCACCTTCCATCCTCTTATCCTCATTCTTCATCTATAAAATGGGAATGACATACATTGTACTTAGGGTTGGTATGAAGATCAAAAGATACAATGTAAAGCACTTTGCCAACTTTAAAGTGCTATACAAATATCATCTATTATTATTTTATACATGTTTATTGAGAGCAAAGGGTGTATGGTTACTTTTAAAATACTGATAGCGCCAGCTCTGCACACCAAGAATGCATGTCTTCTTATTTCAAGTCCTTCCACTATACCACAAATAGACTATAATAAATATGAGGCATAACAGTGTAGTGAAAAGAAAGCTGAACTTAAAGAGTTTGGAGACCCAGGATCTTACTCCTCACATATTCTCTCTCTGTAGTCCTGTTCAGGTTGCTTCTTTGAAACTCAATTTTTTCATCTGTAAAACGGGGATAATTATAATACCACCCACTGGACAAGGTAATTGTGAGGATCAAATGAGAACGTAAAGTGTTTTCTAAACCAAAAAGTGCAATATAAATGTTAGCTACGATCATTATTAATGGACATAACTAAAGGTCATAATTTTAAAAAGTAAAAACATTTTCACAGATTAGTACACAGAAGGGAGAAAGGAAGGGAGAGGAGAAGCAGTATGGCAAAGTGGATAGATAGCAGGCTGGCCTTGAGTCAGGAAGGCCTAGGACCGGGTCCTATATCTGGCACGTTCTAGCTTTGTGTCCATGGGAAAGCTAGTTTAACTTTTCAATACCCCAGGCAAATTTCTAAGCTATAAGTTACAGATGAGTTGCCAATACACATTGGTGGAGAGTTTCTACATGATGGAGTTCTTTATGTCAGTGACATTAGAGATCTTTTGCATCCATCCCAGGAGGAAAGAAAAAAAATGTGGGAAACATTAGGTGTACATACCTTTTCCAACAGCATTTCTCTTTCATTTTCAACCTCCTCACTCCATATGGTCATATCATTTTTGGTTTTTTGTGTTACAGTTAGTATTACTAATTTGCCAGAATTCACTTCTGGAAACATTGATTCAAAATCTAGTGAGAGAATAAAATCAACATTCAGTGGAGATATAGACTATAATTTTGTTCTTACCTTCTTCTCATTCAATCCCCAAAATAAGGTACCGTACAGTGCCAAAGCTTTTCAACATCCATCATAAGAATTATTTAACTTAAATGGGTTGTCATTATTATATTTATTTAATAAGCTATTTATGTAACCTTACTCAAATTATTTTTAAAAAGTAAAGTAAGTACTGCAGTATTATCCCATTTCTAACAGATGAAACAAGACCATAGTGGTGTCAGAGGTGGCATTTTTGAAATTAGGTCTCTCCTAACTCTGAGTCTAGTACTTTTTCTACTAGACACTGCAGCTTCTCAATAATGATGATGATAACAATTATTACTAGTATTATTATTATTTCTTCTACAGATTAATAGATTGGAATTTCAAATGTAAAATCTAGGTTTATCCTTATCCTTTATAGACTAGAAAAACTTCCACCAAGGTCCTATTTGAATGTTTCATCAAGACACTGAAGTGACCCTGGCTTTTGAAGGCTATGTTGGTAAAACAAATTTTAGCAGGGCCTACTGAGCTTGAAGAATTTTAGGGACAGGCCCAATGGCAGACTGTCTGAGGGAAAGTTTAACCGAAGTTTGAAGAGGCTTATCACTAAAATGATCAATTTTGTACTGCCATATCAACTCATGCAGGTCTTCCATTATGATGTAAAGTGGTTGCAATGTGCCTCAGTGGAGGGAGTACATATGCCGGTGATATCATAAATTTTTAAAAAGTCTTTAAAGAAGGCTACATAGAAATTCCAGCATTATTATCTTGGTAAAGCTTGATCAGGATGTAAGCAAAGTATTTAGGGAAGAAAGACATTACTGTAGTATCTTTTTTTTTTCTGTAAAGAAAAGAATACTGTAATTTCTGCAAGGTACTTTGTACATAAGAGCGGAAAGTGAAACTCAAAATAAGCCCAATTACTTTAAAAGATGCAAACAATTTCTGAAAAAGAGGAACAAATTTTGGTTTCCTAAGATGAACTTCAAACTCAATTTACTTTCAAATTACTTTTTAATAAGAGATTAAATCTCTTACATAATTCTGTTGACAAACACACATGTACGAGAACTAAGTGAAACCAGAGGTCATTCTACTCTTTCATTTTACTGACAAAATAAAGGCCCAAAAAAGTTTGCTTAAAGTTACATTATCTGGTAAGGCTCGGAGTCAGGACTGGAACCCAAGCCTGACTCCTGCTGGTATTCCAGTACACTAAGCTGAAGTATTTTAGAATCCCATCCAGGGTTCACAAAAACACAATGTGGTAGAATGCAAGTTCTTTGAGGACAGAGGCTGATGATTTTATATCTTAGTGCCTAGCACAATGGATATAGTAGGGGAACTGTTAATTATTAATAACAAACTGTTAATAAATGTTTATTATAACACAGCAGCACAGTCAATTTTCTATTCCAAAACAGAGTAGGAAAAAAAGGATAGCATGAAAAGTGACAAAACTAAATTCCTCCTTAAGGAATGTCATTATGGGGTAATATGTTACAAAGTACTTACTATGGCCAAGGTAAGAGCATTCAGATGTCAAAGATGTATTAACTGAGATTCAAACTTACTACCACTAGGGAGCATTCTTCAGTAGTACAAAAATTACCTCTGTTATCTGGTTACCAATGCCACAGAAAATAAAACATACTGTACCTTTTCGAAGCAGCTCTGGACATGTTTGTATTACACATTCTACTTTGGCACTTTCAAAATAAGTTTCTGCTCTGTTAATTTCCTGCTGTTCAACAGGTGCATCACTTCCCTAAGGAGAACAAAACAATATAAGTAGGTAACATCTGCATTTCAAGTAATGTGTCATCTTACTGAGTTGTCTCTAGTTAGCTTGATGTAGCTAAATCTAAATCTATATCTATGAAATACAGGCTCTAATCACACAGGGGTAGAGGCATGAACAATTAAAGTTATTTTTATAATACATATTCTGTCAAATTAAACTATTTCTTCTAAGAAATAAAGAAAAAGAGTCTCACATATATAAATGTGATAATGATATTTATTTCCAAGATCTGATTTCATAAAGAACAGAACACATAACAGGTTAAGAAATGGGTCAAAACTTCAGAATTATACTGCAGCGACAACTGTGAAATCATCTTGTAACACTTCACTATTTGTCTTTTTTGTAAAACAAGGACGATATTAACCTACATAGGATTCTTGTGTGAGATGACAGATGATATAAATAATTATCAAGCACTTAACAAAGAGATACATACAATTTAAGGCCCAAAGGTATCATTATGTTCAAAATAATGAATAACTTAATTGGTCAAACAAAAAGTATTATTACCTGTCAACCAAACATTCTCTGTATATTACCACATTCTGATCAAGTGAGAAAAAACACTTTTACTTTCCCACTCTTCTCTTTAATCCTTGACACACCAACATACTGCTTCCAACTTACAACAGTTTTGCCTGTATAGGAAGCTTTCATCTTCCCTTTTTTAAAAAAATTAAAATAATTTTCTACTTTATTAAAACGAAGAATTTCTCACCAGGAGTTTGCTCCCTAATCTGAGTTGTCAAAGGGACTTTAGGTATGATTTGGAGATTCCTTATTGTGAATTTAAAATAAAATTCTATTTAGAATTAATTTTCAGTCTATATATTCAGGAAAATAACTTGGAATTCTGTTAAAAAAAAGTGACTAAAACCTCCATACCTCCTGACCCAAAGACTCTACGCTAGCTAGTCATATGCTTCAAGGTCAAAGACATAAATGACATATATATGTAATCATATGAAGATGTATGTGTGTAAATTACATCTATACACATGCATATAAAAAATATTCACATCAGCACCTTTTGTGGTAGCAAAGAATTGAAAACAAAGTAAATGCCCATCAGCTGTGGAATGGTTGACCAAAGTGTGGCGCATCAATATAAAAATGGATCATTACTGTGTTGTGAGAAATAATGACTATGAAGAATTTAGAGAAGCACTGGAAGACTTAAATGAACTGATATAGAATGAAGTAAGCAGAATCAAACAAAATTCAATGGAAACAATGTAAATGAAATTGAACAAAAAAAGAAACCGAATGCTATGTAATTATAATGGTGAAATCTGGGCTGAGAAAAAAAGATGAGAAAAGCTACCACTCTCTCACATTCTTGGCAGAGGTGAGGTACTATGAATATATATGATTGTGTATGCCATCAAATTTGGTTATTCATTTTGTTGAACTGCCTTTCCCTTTCTGTTTCTTGCAATAAAGGATGGGTCTTTGAGTAGAGGAGAGGGAAGGGATATACTAAGAAATAAAGGTAATATAAGAAAAAATAACAATACTTTAATGAAATTCTATAATACGTAACCTAAAAAAAAAATCAATAAAGGTCTGTTCAGTATAAGGAATAAAGGGAAAATGCACATGATGCAGTACCTTTCTAGAATATTTAGAAATAAATATTAGAACCCTTGCTAAAAATGCTGTACTATGGTATGGCAATAAGTAGTTGGAACATACTGAAAAGATCCTTCATCCCTACAATGTTCTTAATTTTTGCTCTGCAACACACAACAATCAAGAGGATTAAGTTGATACAGTATAATCTCTCTGGACACTCTCTCTAGAGACATCTGAAGGGAAATTATAAAAACTAAAAAGTATTACCTTAATGTCTTTGAGCTTTCATCCTGCAGACAGCTCTATGGGTAAAGTACATTTAAATGGTAGAAGCCTCAAACATTTAAAAAATAATCTGTATTCTCTGTAACAGCTTCTCATATTATGTGACATTCATGTCCCATACTCCCATTACTCCTCTATGGGACTCCACTCAAAGTGCTGGAAATTCTTCCTATAGATCACTGAACATTGTGTAGAAACCAATATAATATTTTTGCTACTTGCCTGGTCCATCTTCTTTTTCAGTTGTATTTGATGATAAACAGGTTTCACAGGTATTACATGGAATATGAATATGCTTACACACACACACACACACAGACACACACACACACACACACAGTGCACACAGACACACACACACACACACTGTGCCCAGAGAAATTGTTTTGCAACCTGAATTAATTACAAGTTGTTGCTCCTATATCCTATAATGACAAAGTCAACCTGGAACTGGAGGTATGTGAACAGTAACAAGCATGCTAAGATATTTAAACACTCTACCTTAACTAGTGTTCCTGAAAAAAACTGAGAAATACATTTTTATACAAACTCTAACTAAAAGTCCAATTTTAAATATCACTTTTGGGCCAGGAATGCTTTTGCAGTAGATATCTCTGCCAGCTATAGTGCAATCATGCAGTTTAATCAATTAGCAATCAGCAAGTAGGTATTAAATTCTACTATATGCCAGGCACTGTTTTACATGTTAGGATACAAAGCTAAAAAGTCAAATAGCCTCTCCCCTCATTTAGTTGGCATTCTTATGGGTAAGCCAATTCACACACATATAAAATATATAAAAAATAAATGAGGTAGTTTTGAAAGGGAAGGCAGTAGCAGAACCTATAGTTTGAACAAACTAAGCTCAGACAAAGATAACTGTTTTTAGCACAGAACACCTCCTCCTTGTTAACAATATCTAACAATTTCTAGGGAATATCCAATCTTGAGAGGCAGCATGACAGAACAGCTAGCTAAAGGGCTGGTCTTGCAGTCAGGAAGACTGGGCTTTCTGGATTTGTCTAACACATGCTAGCTTTGTGACCACAAGCAAGTCAATTAACCTGAGTGCCTCAGGCAACTCCCTAGGATAAGTTACAGTTGAATTGCCAATTTGTAATGGTTGAAATAATATCATAAGATTTTTACACTTTTTTACTAGACACCAGTCTTACCTCAAATTCACTTACATACTGTGCCATCACAAATTCATGCCTTTCACTTGATAAAGGCTCTGCTAGGACATCAGGCAAAGTTCTATGAACTGGACTTTTCTTCTGCAAAGGCGTTCCACTGAGGTGACAGTCAAAACCTATATTCCCAGGGAGCTGAAATCTTTGATCCTGGGGCCCAAAAGGTCCCATAGTTTCATCTGGCCACACAGTTCTTGAACCTAAAAAGAAATGGAGATAATTATTTTTTTTCTTCAATTTTGGCACAGAAGTTATAGGTTTTGGGCCTATGATTTTTGTAAAGCAAGAAATTCTTTTAAGAAAGTTCTGAGGGGAGGGAAGAAAGAGATTAAGGTCTTAGCAATGTGGATTTTAATGAGAACATACATCATCTATATCAATGCCATTTGTTAAATAAAATTCAAGATTTATTTTAAAAACACGTGCTAAAAATTTCAGTTTGGGTGTTCCAGTTTTTTTTTTCTGGCTGAAAACAGACATGTATTTGAACTGTCATATTTTTTGGTTGTAGTTACTTTTAGAGACTCGCCTCTCTACTACAAGTCCATCTCTCTTGTATTTTCTACCTCCAGGATCTGGCTCAACACAGACTCCAAGATTTCCAACCAAGATGAGTGGAAAATAACGATACCACTAACATAAGTCAGAAACCACCTCTGGGGTGAAAATCATGAGGTTGTTTTTTTGGGGGTGGGGATGGGGGGAAACTTAAGGAGAAATCCATATATTACAAATATAGGGTATGATTCTTTGGTTTAATTCTCTACGAAGCAGATTTCCATTTTTTCCCTTTGCTTTTTCACATTTAATTTTTTTAAAATTTGGGTTATAAATACATCTTGGGAAAAAAAGAACACTAAAGAATTGGTAAGCATAATTATTATAGAACTTAAGAATAAAAAAGCGAGTGGTCTCACCAAATAGAAAGATCAGTTATTAATCACATGACAGACACAAGCAACATTAATGCTGCATGTCTATTTCCTAGCCACATTTGGCTGTCTTCAGACTATTTGCCACTGAGATAAATAGGACTCCGGAGCAATTTTCATCCTAACTAATCTGTTTAGGTTTGGGATGGAAAATCGTTATGATTAAGGTAGTAGTGCAATGTCCACTAAGTTTTGTCCAATATTTCAAAAATATCTCACTTACTTCATCAATATTTAGACTTAAATTAATTTCACCGTATCAGAATTGTTTCGGCATTTACTTTCTTTTCTTTAAACAAACAAAAAAAAAGGACTATGCATCTCCATCTTGCTGATCAGCCCAGGAGTTTTGACCTGCTTTTTTCTGACCTGGGCTAGTGCTCCCCTCCTTTGGCATCTTGGAGCACCTTAGCACCCACCTGGCCCTTCTCCCCAAAACTCATCACGTTAGTGTGAGACAGTGTAGAAATCTGATCAGTATAGCCCTTCTGCAGCTTAGAACTCCAGAGCTCAAGTGCCTCAGTCTCCCTAGTATGAGGAATTATAAGCCTGTGGCCTCACACCCAACTCCTCACTTCCACTTTTATATGGCCCTAGTTAAGCATGAATTCTCTTTGCTGTGGAGTAGGAAGATGGATGCAAGAAGGATGACCAGAAGGAGGAAGAAGTGGCAAGATGCCCTAGAAGCTTGGTACTGTAGGGAAATTTCTGGCAGGAGAAACTGGGGGCTAGCCATTCTATTCCATTCTGTTTGGCCAAGAACAGGGACGGAGATGGAAATTGACAGTGGTCCAGGAAGCCAGTTTTTTGCTACTGCTGAGCAAATGCCTCCAAAGAAGAGCTGGAATGAAACATACCAGTGAACAGAAATAAGGATGGAAGAGGACGGGACTGGCATATAAAACCATAACCTCAAAGATTAATCAGTATACAAGACTAATGCTGGTCATCAGACTGGACTGCAGCTTTACATTCCACCTAGCCATCCAATTTCACCATCCATCAACAGCCACTGAGCTGCTCTTCCTCATCTGGACCTGTAGTATCCACTAAGCTTCAGACTGGGATCTCCACACTGGAGATTTCCTGAATCCATGACCTACTCCTTGGAAAAGTTAATTCATTCATTTTTGGCTAGCCAATCCTACTGAATGAGCCTGTCAATTCCTCCCTGACCTGTCCCCAGCACAAAACTCTCCTCCCTGGTTACCTATTCCTGTATGTGTTATTTTCCCTGTTGGAATGTAATTAGGAAAGAACTGTCTCTTTTAAAATCTTTGTATCCTCAGCATTTAGTACAATGCCTAGCACATAATAAGCACCTAAAAATGTTTTTTTAAAAATTCATTCCAAGGGGGCAGCTAGGTGGCGCAGTGGATAGAACACTGGCCTTGGAATCAGGAGGACCTGAGTTCAAATCCAGCCTCAGACACATAACAGTTACTAGCTGTGTGACCCTGGGCAAGTCACTTAACCCCAACTGCCTCACTGAAAAGCAAAAAAAAAATCATTCCTTCTGCTTTTAAAAAAATTGGCATCATTTCATAAAAGTTCCTAGACGTTCCTATTATGTTGGCCTTAATTGAACTAGATGATTCCATTGCATTAATGTACAAAATTCTTCAATCCTTACTTATTTCTATTAGACATTTAAGTATTTGTAGTTTTTTGTAATTACAACTAATTCTGCTATGAAAAAATTTTATTAAGTTTAATTTATGACACTTAAAAATATAGTGTATATCACGAACAATTGGCATTATTGGGGCAAATGGTACTACAATTTTTTGTGATTTTACTGGGTACTGCTAGATTATTCTCCAAAAAATTTGGTACCTCTAATTTCACCAGAAATTAATTTACAGGTTTCCCATAATCTCACCACTACTGAGTTTTTTGCTTTTAATTATATAATGCCAAGCTGATGGGTGTGATGTGGCACCTCAGAGTCATTTTAATTCACATCTCTTTGATAACTAGTACAGTTGAGCATATTTCAAGTTTTTTCATATTTTCAAGCTTTCATAATTCAAAATTCTCAACAACCTAGGCTTTTTCTTTTGAAAATTGCCTCTTTTGACCATCTTACCTATTGGACACTGGACATTAACTGTGTAAGGTTTTTTTTTTAACAGCTCCTTATGATTTTGATGTCAAGTTTTTAAATCAATTATATCTGCCATAAATATTTTTCCAATCTTATTTTTTTCTGTATTGTTTCTGATTTGAATGTAGTCAAGCATATCTTTTGTCCCTAACAATTTCTATTTGTTGAACAGAAAAAAGTTATCTTCCATAAACTGAGACAAATGCATTTTTCCCTTTTTTTCCATCCTTACATAGTTTTAGAAAAATAAAATTAAGCTTATCCACCTGTTGAAATTCAGAGAAGTATACAGCATTATATATTTGTAGGTCTAAATTTTGCTGGCATGTTGCCAATTTTCCCAAGAATATTAGATATTGAATCCTTTCCTCCAGGTTTTTACTTTATATATATTTATCATATAATGGTCTTTTGGGAATGGTTTTTTTCAAAAGAAGTCCTAAATTATGTAATATTATTGGAACAGATTAATAAAGTTAAAATGAACTCTCCCCCAATAATTTATGTAATTCCAATCAAAATACCTAAGAGATTCTTTGTTATACCTAAATAAAATGAAAATAGCATCAATTGTTATTCTTTGTACCCCAAAGTACCCTGTACCCAAAAACACTGCTAACCAATTTATAACATATTCTGAATCCTGAAGTGTAGGCTTTATCAGCTTAAAAACTTTATCAACTTTTTTCATCTTATCTCTGATATTCTTGTGCACTTCATTTTTTCCATATAAATTTCACTAAGATTGTATTTAGTTCTATAAATGAATCTCCTGGTATTTTCATTATAATTGCATAAACCAGATATACATTTGTAGAGTATTACCATTTTTACTTTATTAATCTGGCCCATTCATAAACACTGAATTTCCCCTTCAATTTCAGTCATCATCATAGTTTTACAGCTATCTATAAGCTGATACTGTACATGTTCAGGTAGGTCAATTCCCAAATATCTGATGTCTTTATTAAAAATGAATTTTTAATAGTTTTCTTGATCTTTGTTCTTGATAAGTAAAAATGCAAATGAGTTCAGTTGAAGTTAAGGTGACAGTAGGATTTTAAGGTGGTACTCTAGTTATTAGAAAACGGATAAATGAAGCTGGAAAGAAGGGCTGAGGTTGAAGAGAAAGAATAGAGAATTATCTGGATTGACAACTAAAGCACAGGCTTAGGAATGAACGGAGGGCCAAGGGTTGAGCCTTGGAAACACTTATTTAATAAGTTAAGGGATGTAAAAAGGAAATAGGAAAGCAGCAAGAAAATCAGAATAGCATAGTGAAACAGAAGATAAAAGAAAAAGTAAGTTTCAAGAACAAATGCATTTACATTTTGATATATAGGATGAAGGTGATGACTGAAGAAACTAGTGTTAGTAGATGAAAACCATATTAAAGGGCCTTAAGGAAAGATAAGCAGTGAGAAAACGGAGGCAGCAGACACAGATTATACACTGACAATGAAGGTATAAAATTATAGAAATTTGAGGAGGTAGCAATATCACAGTCACATTTTGTCTGGATAAGTTAATACGTGAATATTTGAAGATAGGGAAGAAAAGGAAATGGAATAAGCTTTTATACAGGACCTATAATGTTCCAGGGAGTAGTACTGGATACTACTATTGCTGTTTCTTTCTTATATGATTGATTTTTCTTCAATAAATTTTTATTAGGCAAAATACTTTATGCATTATACCAGTATTATTTAATAATTTTTTTAAAAGGTAGGGAAAAAAACTAGAAAGGAGAGATTTTCTTAAGAGGTAAGATGAATTATTTTTTAAAACTTCAGATCACAATGGCATTTGGGGAAAGAGAAGAAGAGAAGAGAATAAGCATTCAGCACTTACCATGTACTAGGCACTATCATCCCAGGCTTTTTAAAAACAAGTATCTCGGGGCAGCTAGGTGGTGTGGTGGATAGAGCACCGGCTCTGGATTCGGGAAGACCTGAGTTCAAATCTGCCTCAGACATATAATCATCGCTAGCTGTGTGACTCTGGGCAAGTCACTTGACCCCAACTGCCTCACCAAAAAAAACCCCCCCAGAAACAAAAACCCCCCCAAGTATCTCATTTGATCCTCACAACAATCCTGTGAATTAGGTGCTATTATTATCCCCATTTTACAGTGGAGGAAACTGAGACAACAGTACATATAGGCAGCAATATAGGAATGGAGGAATCCCTAAAAGGGATTGTGGGGCAATTCATAATGCTTGCATGATATATTTCCACTTTTGGAGAGAAGGAGAGTATATTCAAATAATCTGCTGCAAGTATAAAAATAATTCAAATTATATAAAAATATCTTTTACTTACATATATCTGGTGGCGCAGTAGCTACGTGAGACTCATCTGAACCTGAAGATCCAGCAGTAGAAAAAGCTCTGGGATTTACAACTCTTCTGACTAAAGAGTAAAATCCTGGGAGGTATGTAACCAGCCTGGCTCTGTTACACAGCACCTAAAATTTAAAAAAAAAAAAAAAGAAAAAGAAAAAAAGAAAATGATTGGAAAAGAAATGCTCTATTTCTATACTTGCACATATCTCCTTGGTAAACACTTATACTGGAGTGTAATTTTTTCCAAAACTTATCATTAAGATTCCTATTTGTATAATTCAACAAAACATAAACGATAAGCATATTATATTTATTGAAATATAAGTAGGCCCTTCAGGATATATAAACTTGCCACAGTACAAACCAGAAGCCAAAACAGTGTCATTCATGTAATAGACACTTCAGTGTTAAAAATGATTTATAACAAATAAATATATTAAAAAGTTATCACTAGAAAGTACTAATATGCTATTTTTTATGTAAGATGATGATTGCATCAACCAGGCATGTGACAAACTAAACTTCTCCATGTCAAAGAACTGGTAGGATCCTACTCACAATGTCTCACTTTGCCCTTTTGTAAACAAAAACACACTTTGAGAATACTAGGAAATGTTAGAAATGGAATGCAATCTTTGGTGTCTTCACAGGGTTGGTAGGTAAAATGGCTGAACCTCTCAGCTTGGTCTCATGGGCAAGCTGTAATACTAACCTAATTGGTCTCAGCCCAAACTTGCTCAACATACCACAAGCTCTAATATTAACCTAATTGGTTTCAGCCCAAAGTTGTTAAAAATACTGCATAATGTAGAAAATTCTGGTGACTAAAGGTGAGGCATACAGATTAATACAATAGGACAGTTCTGAAATAAAGAAGAGATTGGCTTATTTGAAATTAAAGGAGCAGAAACAGTCATCTTAAATGTGAAAGAATCAATTTTAAAAAGGTTTACTTATTAACTTTTAAGAGCTGTATACAGTATAAATCAAGATAAAAATTATAATGAAGCAAATTAATGAAGAACAAAATTCAAAACAGATCTACAATAACCATAAATATAAAAAGGTTAAAAATCTGAAGTTATACTGCTTTTCACACTGAACTTTTACTTAACTTTAAAATACTGAACTTTGTACTCCCACTGTCATTTAAAAAATATGTTTATCCAGAGTCTACCCCAAGACCTGAACACAAAAGGAACTTACAGTGTGCTGAAATGTTTAATGTGTAAATTATGACATTTGAATCAAGATCTAAATCAATGAGGTTTTATGGCAGTTGCAAAAACTAGTTCACCTTCAAAAATGTTATTTGGCCAGAAAAAAACTGAACTGGTCCTGTCCCCATTTACTGTAAGTCTGACCAGTTTCCTGAGTAGCTAAATTAATGGAATACAAACGTGTGTACACAGTAAATATACTAAGTTCTTTCAAAAGCACAAGCTCCGCTTCGTTCAGGAAACATTCCTCAGTACTGCCGATCCCTAGCGATGTTCCTGCTCTACCCCAAAATCATTTAGCATTTATTATCATTGCCACTTAATTATTTATAGCTTTGTAATATTTCTTGAATCATTTTTCTTAAGTATATGCCTTATTTAACTATTCATGCACTGATTCAAATAGTCATTGGACAACGAGGAGCAAGGTACTAGGTATGTTATATTCATTTGGGAATATAAAACACAGTAAGTAAAGCTTATTAAGATCTAGGAGGAAGAGTATACACAAATAGCTGTAACACAACTAGACTCGGTTTCTTGAGGACAAGGACCACAGATCACGAGAATAGGCACTCAATAACTGGTAGCAACTTAGACATCCAAATAAACAAAAAAACTCCACAGTTTTATATACCTTTACTCCACTGATGATCATAAATATTTTCAACAACTCTTTTGAAATTACTTTCAAAGCCAGTTTATGAGGCACAAAAGCAATGTACCTTTTTATTCACATTGCTTTAAAATTTACTGGTTTGAGTATATTCACTTTTTTTCCTACTGACGTTGACATTTTCAAAAATCGCTGACGCCACTGAACTGAATTCGAAAAATGGTTTACATAACAGCAGAATTATCAGAATATTATATAATTGCTATGAACTGGACACTCTTCCCTGGGAATGTGAGTTCTGGGATGTTTATCAAAAATTCAGTAACACAGTCCTACCTCCTAAATAATGTTGAGTAAGTCAGTGATAAAAAGGGAAGAAAAGGAAGCAAAACAGCAGCTATTGCTTACTGTCCTCATTTATTCTATGTTCTCAGCACTTCACCTAATATATCATGTTTTTGGTAGCCCAACATATGTTTCAACAACAAAAAAGTGAATTAATTACTGTATACTAATAAATTAATTGTCAATTTCCCTTTCAACACTGGAATAAGTTTTTAATTTGCATAATTTTAGATAAACAGTGGGAAGAGCTTCTGATGACAGCAGCTTATTTTAACTATATACCTTTAATACCTGAAGAATTACTGAGTAAATGAAAAGGGAGGGGAGGTTTTTCAGGACATACTTGTTATATCCTATGACCTAATGTATGTGGATACAATAATTAAAAGCAACTGCCAAAGTCAAAAGGAGTTTACATGGACAGAGGGCATAGACAGAATAGATTACGCTGTAGTGATCTCCAAAAAAAATTGAAGTGTAAGAAAGAGGGATGCGGTGGGAGAAGGGAGAGGTAGAATAGGGAAAATTTTCTCACATAAAACAGGCAGGCAAGAAAGAGATTTTACAGTGGAGGGGAAAATGAGGAGAGGCGGTGGCAGGCAATACTTGAACTCCCTCTCATCAGATTTGGTTCAAAAGAAGGAAGAATACACACACACACACACACACACACACACACACAAAATATACATATATATATATATATATATATATATACACACACACACACACACATATATATATACACACATACACACACTCTCAGTTTTGTATAGAAATCTAACTCACCCAATATGGAAATAGGAAGGAGATAAAAGAGGGATGGGGGAGAGAAATGACAAAAGGGAGGGCAGATTAAGGGAAGCAGTGGGTAGAAGCAAAACAGACTTTTGAGGAAGGACAGCATAAAAAGAGAGAAAAGAAAATGGGATAGAGGGAAATACACAGCTAATAATCATAACTGTGAATGATAATGCGAAGAGCTCACCCATAAAATGGAATTAGATAGAATGGATTAGAAACCAGAATCCAACAACAGTTGTATACAAGAGACATACGTGAAAGAAAGAAAAACCCAGAGTTTAAAAAAGAGCTGGACAGAATCTATTATGCTTCAGCTGAAGTAAAAAAGGCAGGGGTAGCAATCATGATCTCAAACAAAAGAAAAATGTATTAGTTAATAGGAATTAAAAGAGATAATCAAGGAAACTACAGTTTGCTAAAATGTACCATAGACAATGAAGTACTATCTAAAAATTTACAGCAAGTTTTTCTGATAAAGGCCTGATTTCTCAAATATGCACAGAACCTACAACTGAATCAATTTCATTAAAATAAGAGCCATTCTCCAATGGATAAATGGTCAAAGGATATGAAGTTAGTTTTCAGATGAAGAAATCAAAGCTATATATACTCACATGAAAAAATGCTCTATATCACTACGGGTTAGAGAAACACAAATTAAACCAACTCTGAGATACCAGTTCACATCTATCAGAAATGACAAAACCTAGAGAGCAGCAGGGAAAAACAGGTACATTAACATCTGTTTGGTGGAGTAGTGAACTGGTCCAATAATTCTGCAGACAATTTGGAACCATGCCCAAAGGGCATAAAACTGTTATTTACAGTGGCTCTTTTTGTGGTGGCAAAGAATTGGAAATTGAGGGTCTGCTCATCAGCTGGAGAATGGCTAAGTTGAGGATATATATGATTGTGATTGAGTACTATTGTGCAATAAGATTATAAGGGGGTTGGTTTCAGAAAAAACATGGCAAGACCTATATGAATTGAGGCAAAGAGAAGGGAGAAGAACTGGGAGATCATTGTGCACAGTGACAGCAACGACATAATGATGATCAACTGTGAAAGACTGATCAAACAATGATCCAAGACATTCCCAAAGACTCATGATGAAAAAATGTTATTCACCTTCAGAGAGGCAACTAATGAGCTATGAGTGCAAAATGAAGTATAATTTTTTTTCACTTTCTTTCTCTTGCTTTCTGGGAGGAATATGGCTAATATGGAAATATGCTATGGATTATTTCACATGTATAATTGCTATCATATTGCTTGCCTTCCCAGTGGGTGAGGGAGGGAAATGGGATGGAGAGATTTTGGGACTCAAAATTTAAAAAGAAAAGAATGCAAAAACAAATAAATGAAAATTTAAAGCTACTGCTAATAATCATAAGTCTAAATCAGATTAAGCAGTTTCAATTTACAATCACCTACATAATTATGAACAAACTTGTTCTTCTGATCACATGTCAGGTTCTTCAGATGATATTTTAAGACCCCTTTTGTAAAAGGAAACATTCCTCCAAAATCAAGAGAACATTTATATTTTTATACTGCAAGATATGCATATATGCAAAGTACTTACTGTACATGGACTATATGTACAAGAATTGATTTAAGTTCCTAAAGGTCACCTGATAAACATTAAATACTATACTCTGCATATCAAAGCAATATTTCTTACAAATTTTTCCTTGTAAAAACATAGGCTCTTTCCAATTAGGTGAATTCATACTCTTCAGAAGTCACCTGAGGCAAGAGCGTACACTTTGCCAGGGGACTCTGAACCTACAAATAATGTTATTCAAAGGTATGAAGAATTTTCTTCTAAAACTACAGGGACTAACTTTTTTATGTTTACAACATTTTTACTATTATGTAAGGATTTTCCTTTATTTTACAGGTCTGTCATTAGCAGTCACGACTAAAAGCCAGTTACTGTTTACTGTTCTTATGAATCTATTATACTTTCATGGAACTGGAACTTTATTCCTAGCCTTCAATTTATCATGCTCTAAATCAGAGGTTCTTAATCCGGGGTTTGTGGATAGATAACAGAGGAGCATGAAAAATTTTTTTAATAACCTTATTTGAATATATTTGTTTTCCTCTGTATTTTATTTTATACCTTTAAAAACATTGAGAAGGGTCTATAGATTTCACCAGACTACCAAAGGACTCCATGACACAAAAAAAGAACTAAAAACCCTTGCTCCAAGTGGAGACAAAGGTTTACTTAATGAAAATGATGTTTAAAGGCTTTGATAATATCTGCGAGTATTATTTATTTTTCTTGTGCATTTTTTATTACATTAAAAATTTTTTACATTCATTTTTAATACTGAGTGCCCAAATTATCTCCCTTCCTCCATTCCCTCCTTATATAAGGCAAGTAATATGATACCCAGCTCATATAAATAAAACATCCATACTAGCCATGTAGAAAAAGGAATACCTTTGCTCTCTTGGTCCATAGTGAAGGCTTACTTAATAAATGCTTTACCTATTCATAAAAGTTAGACATAGCAAAAATTATTTGAAAAGAAACTTTTAGTGAACCCGTTCCTGTTTTGAATTCAACTCAATAAACATTTATTAAGCAGCTACTATGTGCTGGGCTCTGCGAATGAGAAAGCAATGTGTTTATAAATCTAAGAGTTACAGATTTATTACAATGGAGAACCAAGAACACTTCTAATGACTCAACTGAAAAACAGGGTCAAAAACCATCATATTAAAAACATGCTAACCAATCAATCAACATTTGTTAATAATTTACTATGTGCCTGGCACTGTGAATGAGAGGGAATTGCATTTATAAACCCCAAAGCTATAGAATTCTTTAAGTGGGGAATCAAACACTCCATTTTTTATAACTCAATGGAAAATCTGGGTCAAAAACCACCATATCAAAAACACTCCAACAAATCAATCCATCAACATTCATTAAGAGTCTACTATATGCTAAAACACTGTACTAAGCGCTGGGGATACAAAAGAGGCAAAACAGTCCCCAACATCTAGAAGTCTACAATCTAATGGGAGAGACAACATACAAACACATACATACAAAACTAGCTACACACAGGTTAAGTCCTTACATACGCATGTCGTGTTATGCTTTCATAGTATCCGCACCACAGTTTAGACTGTGATGGAAGGGACTGTCTTTTGCTTCTTTCTGCATCCTTACAGCGCTCGGCACAGTGCCTGGGCAAACAGCAGGCGCTAAATGCGTGTTTAATGACTGAATTCTTCATCTCCCAAGTCAAGATAAAAACAATCTGCCCTTCTCCCAATCCTCCCCTCATCAAAACACGGGAAGTTTCTGCTGCAGTTACCACCAGCTGTTTAAGAACTCGACTTAATTTACTCACATTGGCCATTTCTGGTGAGGAAAATAATAAAAACAATCTTTTCTTTTATTGCTTTTTTTCCCCTTTCCTAAATGGCAAGTTCTTCCTGGAGGAAAAAAGACAAAAACAGTAAGAACGAGTTGGTGACAGGCAGTGAGTGACTGAGCTCCACAAGCCCCGCGACGAGCACTTTTCTTTGGCCCAAGGCTGGGACCCCGAGCCCCGGCAGCCTCCGCCCCCAAAGGCGTCACCCCACCCTGTCCCCCCAACTCCCAGCCCGGGGGTGGGGGCGCCAGGGCCCTGAGCACACAGACTCCCTGAGGTTTGGGGGGCCTCCGCGAGGCGGCGAAGGGACCGGGGGGTGGAGGGGACGGAGCGCTGAGAGAAGCGACACAGCCCCGGACCCGACTGACAGGGCTGGGACAGGGTCCGAGCGACAAGACTGTGACAGGGCTTGGAGAGAGGCTTCCAGAAGAAAGCAACCCGGAAGGACGAGAGAGAACGAGGCGAAAACCACGACCAGAGAGGTACGGGGAGACAGAGGAACTAATGGAGGCCGCTGGTGTTTACCTGTGCTCAGGAGCCCCACTTTCTGGTCACCGCCAAAATGGCGTCAGCATCGTCACCGTCGCAGGGGGAGGTGGGAGAAATCGCTGCCAGAGAACATCGAGCGGAAGGAACGCCAACGCTCTATCGGGCGGAGGAAAGGCGACGCATGCGCAGACGATCACAAGCGGCTCCTTTTTCTCCACGCCTGCCCCGCCTCTTTCTCTCTTCTCTACTTCCTTTGGACGGCTGCTCTTGGAGCAATGCTGCAGGACTTAGAACGTTTAAGAAGCTAAGAAAAAGTGATGGCTCTTAGCGGTTGCGAGTTAAATTGCCGGCTGAGGGAGTGTAAGCTCAGAGTTTTAATTGTTAATTGATTGAATGAGCATTTAATTAATTTAAATGCTAAACTGTGCTAAGCAAATAGAAAATTAAAAAAAAAAACAGGTTCCTGCCCTCAGGGTTCTTACATTCTAATGGGAAAGAAGCTCATTTACCGAGGGTGTGCTGGAGGCTGCTCTCACTACCTCTGGAAAAGCAACTAAAGTTTTCTTTATAAATTGTTTATACTTAAAAGTAATGGAGAAAACATTAATAATGCAAATTAAATTTAAAGTATGTTTTTTTCCTCTCTTGAAGAGTCAGCTGTTAAACTTTTTCCAGCACACCCCTACCCCATACATAGGGGGATGGTGGCCAGGTAGGGGCTCTGTGATCCAGAAAAGTTCCAGGGTGATATTAGGACCAATGGGAAGTAAATTGACAACACTCTTTCCATTAGTGAGTTGATTTGATTCTTGCTTCCAGACCTTTTTGTTGTTTAGTCATGTCCCACAAAACCCTAATTGGGGTTTTCTTGGCAAAGATACTGGAATGGTTTGCCATTTTCTTATCCAGCTCATTTTACGGAGCAGAAAACTGAGACAAACAGGATTAAGTGACTTTCCCAGAGTCACCCATCTAGTAAGTGTCTGAGAGTGGATTTGAACTCAAGTCTTCCTGAGGCTAGGTCAAACACTCTATCCACTGAACTACCTAGCTGCCCTCCAGAACCATAGAGATTGTATTCCAAGAAAGCTGGTTGCGCTTAGGAGGCCTGGAGAGAATCAGTAAAAACTTATTTGAAGTAATTGTTTTTTATGTTGGAGACTGTAACTATTGCCATCAGAAGAGGTACCTGGAGGGTCAGTCCACCCTTCTTAGAGCACTCCTGAAACTTGAGCATTATCCAAAAAATTCCTCAAAGTACTGTCCTGTAGCCAATTCCAAGTTCTCTGCTAACTCAATTCTCTTAAAGTAAATGAACTTGCAATGGGAACTCACAATATTTTACAAAGATGTATAAAACAGAGACTACCTTTAAGGAGCCTAAAATCTAGCAGGGTGAATAAGAGGTGAACCGAAATAAGTAATACAAGGTAGAATGTGGTAAGTGAAATAAGAGTGGTTAATTCAAATTTTGCAGAAAGGTCAAGGGGAAGGGAAAAAATTATTTTGGTGATGGAGGTGGGGAGATGTTGAGAAAGCAGTTGCTTAGGGTGATGGGAATGGAAACAAGATTACAGAGGTTTAAGGAGAGTAATTGTGAAAGCCTAGAAATTGGGGGGAGGTGAAAAGGAAGAACAAAGGACATTTGGGGAGCTATAGGGTATTTTTTTAGGGTAGAGAAGAGCTGGGAATATTAAGCACAGGAAAAGCAACAAGTAATTAGGGAAAGATGATATCCAAGAAAGGGCTACTCTAAAGAAAAAGATCCAGGAGGGCATAAAAACTCACATTTATATTTATATAGCATTTAACAGCTTAAGAGACACTTTCCTTAAAACAACTCTGAAAAATAGAAATTTTAAGCATTACTTTTTCTCATTTTTGAGAACTCAAACAAACTTCAATTATTTGAAAGGCCCCAGAAGATAGAATCAGGAAGAATGGATGGAAATTGCAGAGAAGAAGTAAGGGCTTGATATCAGGACAAATTTAGGAACAATTAGATCTGTCTGTCCAAAGGTGAAATAGATTGTCTTGGGAAGGTCACATTTATATAGTGCTTAAAGGTTTATAAATAACTTTATGTACATGATCTCATTTGAGCTTCATAACACTTCTGAGAAAAATATCATAGGTATTATTATTATTATTATTATTACTGTTGAGGAAACTGAGATTCTGAAAGGTCAAATGACTTACCAATGTTACAAAACTAGGATTGGACAGGATGTCTTTTGCTCCAGGGCCTTATCCACTACGTCACAAAGGCAAGTTTTGTGCTCATAAAAGGTTATCAAGCAAAGAAAGACTGGATTATACCTTTTGGGGAATATTGTAGAGCAGTGTTGTCAAACTCAAATAGAAGCTGATCTGGGCATGTTGACATTAAAAAAACACAAATTAACATCTACATTGTATGGTTTTTGAAATGTATTTTGTTAAACATTTTCTAATTACATTTTAATATGGTAGTTTTGCAGTTGGTGAATTTGGCTCATGGTGGTAGAAGAGATCTTTATGAGCAAGTTGGACTAGATGACCTGTATGGACCCTTTCAGTCCTGAGATTTTGTCTACACTAGTAAATAGTTGGAGTTGCAGCCTAAACGTGTCTACAACTTCAAAAAAAAATTAATATTTTATTTTCCCAATTACATGTAAAAGCAATTTTAACATTCTTTTTTGAAATTTTAAGTTTCAAATTCTCTCCCTCCCTCTCCTGCCCCGTCATTGAGAAGGCAAGCAATTTGACATAGGTTCTATGGTGTCTATCTACAATTTTCAAGTTCAGCACTCTTTTCTTTGCCAAGAAGAGACAATGATTGTTCTATGAATTCATTTCAATCCAGCTTTCCTCCCATTGTACTGAAACTATTCACATACAGGACACAAGTGACTTTTATTCACATACACACTCACATAGTATCTAGGTCTTTTTACTAAAGTCCTAATCCAATGACTTATGGTGAGGCAGTGACCTTGGGATTCTTTAAGTGATGCCCATGGAGCACAAGCTCTGGAAGTGTCAACCAAGGTATTAGGGCTTCTTATGGGCCCCAAAATATGAGCCTGTCTGCTTAGCTTGTTTGTACTAGTTGCTTGTACATTGTCTCCCTCATTAGACTGTAAGCTCCTTGAAGGCAAGGACTGAATTTTTTGCTTTTCTTTTTATCAATTCTTAGTACAAGTCCTGGTAGATAATAGGTATTTAATAAGTGTTTATCTGAGGAGAAAAAGAGGCCGGCCTTGGAACATTAATACAAATCAATAATTTATCAGCTTTGCCTTTTGAACTGAGAGCCCTTGAGCAGTCTTTGGGCAGATGCCTGGTTAGTTGAGGTCCTCATTCACTCTTGTATCGTACCTCTGTGTTGTATGTATTGCTCATCCATTTTCCAACTCTTCTACCTGGATGCTCTGCAGCTTTCATCCTCGTTAATTTCTTTTTCCATTAATTCTCACCCCACTATTCTCCATCATGCTTTGGTTCCTGGATTTTTTTATATCACTTTTTAGTATATGATTATATTGCCCTGACCCTTTTTTCCTGTCCTTTTCATTTTCAATATACTCTTCCAGGACCATATTAATGAGTCTCACCCCACAAAATTCCAGCTTCAGCAATCCAAGGTCTGTGTCAGTAATAGCAATAATGTTATCCATGAAATGACAGACCTTTGGGGTAGTAATGTGTTTTTTGAAGTAGTGAAATAGTGTGTATGTGTATACACAGGGTGTCCCAAAAGTGTTATTTCAGTTTTAAGTTTAGACTTTGAGAGAGAGAGAGAGAGTAAGGGAGAGAGAAAGGAGGCAGGGCATATGTGTGTGTGTACACTTTATGTATATACATGATCTCATTTCTATATGTATTTATGTATATATAAAGCATGCATATACATATATGTACATAAATTGTGTATATATACACATATAAAGTATACATCTATAAACATGCTCTGCCTTCCTTCTTTCTCTCTCATATATTAATATGTATATTTTATTTAGATATTTTCTATTTATAGCTAGACCTTATACCTAAGCAATATCACTATTAAAGATATACATATACCTTTATTAACATTGCTTACAATATGTTCACATACGCACATGTGCACATACATATAAACATGCGCACACACATGCATACACACACACACACACACACACACACACACACACACCCATTAAACCCAAACATTCCCACTGTGACAAGTAGCTAAATCCTATTGCCTGGATCTTGCCTTTGAGCTTTGCAAGCACAGGTGGGGTGTGTGTGTGTGTGTGTGTGTGTGTGTGTGTGTGTGTGTGTGTGTTTGATATAAGTGCGTATGCGTGTGTATGTATATACATATACTAATGTGTAGGTATATATGTATGTTTTTATATAAATATGTGTATAAATAGATATTTGTGCATGCACATAGACATACACATACATTCTCTGTCTCTCTGTCTCTCATCATCTGTCCTTACGAAGCTCTAAGGTAGGATCCAGGCAGTGTGATTTGTTTACCTTTCATACTAGAAATGCTTATGTTTAAGATCAGGATGTAAATTGAAAAGGTCTGTATCT